CTACGGTAAAAAATAAAAACAAATTGTTTTTACAACATAGTAGATTTGTTGGCTAAACATATTCCAGGTCAAATATTATTTATATTTGTCTATAAAAATGTTATTGCATTATATTTCAAAAAACTCTAAACTACGAATAAAAATAACTTGGCGGGTAATGTGGACCAGTATGTGTGGGTAATGAGGATCAGTTAAAGGTAGGTTGTGCATTGGTTGTGATAAATTTTCATTTGTTGCACTCTTGGGAACAATGAATGCAAAAATATATGGGTTAATGTTTTGGAATAGCCAATATTTAAGGGTACCGCCCCATTTGAGGTATTTTGAAGGTCCTTGCTTCATTATCCAACCGAGGCATCTGTAATTTCGCATATCGAGTTTTCAGAGGATAGAATACCACCTCGCATATTAATTGCGCCCATGTTTCAAACTCGTCCTCATGAAAAGGTCCCACTTTTTTATAGTGGTCCACATTACCCGACATTGAATATTTTTATTTAAAAATAATTATCGGCTTCCAAAATGAATAAAAATTTAATAATCACCGATTATAATTACTGCTAAACGTATATTTTTGTTAAAGAGAACAAGAAAACCACACCGACTATTTGCAAAAACGTTCGATTATTGCGCTAAAAAAATTTCAAATCACACTTTTACAATCAGTGCTACATTTTCTACTACTAAATTTTCAACATTGCAATTATTTTTTTAAAAACCAAGCTTGATGTTTGTTTTCACTAATTAGGAAAACATTTATCAAGGCGGCATTGACATATTACAAGCATTTTCTTTGATATGGGGGGTGGTCCACATTACCCGAAGTTACTCTATTGGCAATTTTCTCAAAAATATTCCTGGTGTTGTTTCCTATTAGGGACACGATCAAGTTTTGGTCAGTTCAAAACAATTTGTTCCAATACTTAAAAAGTTTAATTGCCTTTTCCCTCATAATTTCCGGAATAGTTTTTGGAATAGGCTCCACATAATGGAACCGCTTAATCTTTATTTTACCATGTCTTACTGTGTTTTATTTGAGAACATTTTCACAACATATACATACCATACACATTGCTTCACATGACATAACATATATATTCAAACTAAATATGTCTTGATTTTATGGAAACGTGAGCAAATAATGATAGCGATTAATCTTACTCTCTCTTTTCGATTTCATATTATTAAATTTAATTCTAATCAAAATATAAATTTATTTTCATACACAATAGTTTTTTTCAAGGCAATGACAATCCAATTTGAAAATTTTACATAATTAACAATTAATTAAAGATATATGCTGCCTAATATCGACCAAAATATGTCCAAAAATAACTACGAAGAGATGAAATCATTAAGGTTCGATATAAAATATATGGAAATGCTGATATTTTTCAAAATATATTTTGCAACATTTTCGAGAATTTTTCTCAAAATGTTCTTTCATTAAAACCTTTCCACTTCAATTACAGACTACTAACAGAAACATAAAGCAAATCGGTCCAGCCGTTTCTTTAAAATAAATTTTGCAAGATTTTCATCGATTATTCTCAAATTTTTTATTCATAAAAACCTTCCCAGTGTAATTACCGACAACTGAAAGACATTTTGAGTCAAATCGGTCCAGCCGTTCTCACTTGATGCGTTAGTAAACATTTTTTTGGCTCCATTTTTATATATATAGAAGAAGAAGAAGATATTCAACATTTTATTACATCATAAACGTGTCGGAAAATCCACGTCAACCCTAAACGACAAAAAAATGCATTGCACTTTGTTGAAAAGAAAGCGACGTAGATTTTTTTTGACAACAACTGTTTAAAGTTCGTTCACCGATATTTCTTTGACTGTAAAAGATAAACATTTAAGACGTATTTTTGGCGACAGTTGTTTTTACTACGGCTGGCTGCACGTGTAATATTTTTTTTCTGTGTATGTACACAGGTGTTTTATATTTTTAGTTCTTATTTCGGTTTATGCTGTTTTGATAGGTTTATAATCAAAATCTAAATGAAAATGACCGTTGGCTATTAGGGCAAAATCTTAAACTTTTTTGTTTACATTTCCCAATCGATTGATCCTATTGTGAGAATACTTCTTGGTACACTGGATTCACGACCTGCATCGATAATAATTTGTGAGATATCAACCCGATGATGTAAGCGAGTCAGATATATAATACATTTATTCCAAAGAACAAAAATATTGCAGCAATTTAATTTTAAAATTATGTGGTGAGATTGAGAAATTTTTCAATCCAGGGGGAAGCTGGTTCCACAGCCACAGTTCCACCAATACGAACGGCAAATAAACGTTCAAGCGTCAGAATTTCAATGCGTTCAAATAGAATTTGAGAATTTCTGTTACAGCCTTACCGCAAAACAAAATTCAAAATTTATTAAATTAATCCACATATTTTTAGTTTCCATTCGAAATTTCAAATTTCCTCAATGTTTTGTTTTTATTTTCCACAAAAGAAAAAATGAAAAATACGTTCTGTCAAAGTTGAAATTGTTCAACTTGAAATTTTGTACGTTCGACGTATTTCGGTAATATTCATATATAAGTACATGTATTCTACTTTTGTGGTGAAAAACGTCGAACGAGCTAGTTGAATTTTAGGTAAGGCTGTTAGAATGCAAAAATCGGAAATTATCGGTAATATAGTTAGGTATGACTATGTTTGTGTTTTATGTAGAATGGTAAAAAATTGTTGACATTGTACAATCTCCTGAGGCAACAATTAACTTTTGAGCAAATGGTAGTAATATGGGATGAAAATTTCAGATTACAATCAATATCAAAGCCAAGACAAGTCACAGACTGCGAAGAAGTAATTGATTTCTCTATTTCGCTGAATAAGTAAATCACAACCACTTTAGAAAATAATTAACTTTGTTTTATCAACATTGATATTAATACAGTTACGTGAAGCCCAACCAACAAATTCGACCAATATCACTATAAAAGTGCAGAAATGCAATCATTTATGTCAAGACATGGGTTAGACATAACCCGAAATCGTTCGCATATATATTCAAAGAAGATTGCTGAACACATATTCACAAACGTCATTAACGTATAACATAAAAAGGAGTGGACCTAAAATTGAAACTTGTGGAACACCAGACGAAATATCAAGAATTACCGTCATATACAATTTTTTGAGAGCGGTTGGAGAGGAATGAAGATACAAAATAGCAATATTAAACAGATTAAATAGCTTGGAGCGGAGAATGCCGTGATTGATAGAATCAAAAGCTTTAGAAATGTCTAAAATGCCTAACATACTAGGAACCTTTTTATCAACCGAGCGACGAATGTCATCAGTTAATGATGTTGTGCTGTGATGTTTCCTAAAACCTGATTGACAGACATTAATCAAAGAAAATTTATCCAGGTGTTGCCAAATTTGGTTTTTGAGCAAAATATCGAATACCTTTGACAGTGCCGGTAGAATTGTTTAAAGTTTAAACCAGTAGCGCCTTTTTCAGTAAAGTATGCACTTTAACTACCTTCCAAGCAGACGGAAATGTACTAGTTGTAATAATCGTGTTAACAAGGTGTAAAAAAATAATGTTGCAAATAAGGAAACGTAACGGAATTTGATCGAAGCCTATAGCATTGGACTTAACTCTATATATTACACTGATGAGCTCAAATATGTCGACATTGCGAAAATTGAAAATATTAGAACGAGGCATAATCATAGAAGTGTTATCAAAAATAGTAATATTAGCACCATTATTGGAGGTAAAAAAAATATATTTAAATGATCTAAATTATTGCTATAACAGTGTGTCGCTCCACAATCAGAAATCCAGTCGCCGACTGGCGACATTTATGGTTTAATAAATATTTTTTTCCCCGAATTTAAAATAAAAAAACACATCATTGTTTTTAGATTTTCATGATTTCAGTATTATCAGTTCTTTATTTATTTTTTATACACACATATATATGATTGTTGTATTTTATCTCTTTCAATTTAGTTCTTCATTTTCTTTTTCTATATAAAACTTTTATTTTCATCAAATGTATTTATGGAAGATTTCTCTCAATAGTGATCAGAGTTTTGTGTTTTTCTGTTTTGTTTTAAATATGTTATGAATTCTTTAATAGTATGCCTATTATATTTTTGTATATATATTTATAGAGTTTATGAATAAAAAAGTGGTGTTTTATTTTTGTTTTTTATAAAAATCATTTCCCAAAAAATAATTAAAGCCATTTATTAAAAGAATTTGACATTCTATAAAAACTACTACAAAATAACTGCGTCGTCAACAGTATAAAACAAACCAACAATCATTCGAATTGAAATAAAAAATCATTCTCAGAATGTTATTTGCTTAAACTTAGAGAGCAATTAAAAAAAATATGAAACATATTTTCTTATTTATATATATAAAAAAGAATTTTGGGATGTTTTAAAGTACTTTTTTCTCTTTAATCTTAGTTGTTTTTCAACATTCTTTTCAAGTTTTTCATTTTAATTACAATTACAAATATATATTTATATAAAAATAGTATTACAAACTTAATTTATTTATTAAAAAAAACGGAAAGCAAGATTTGAAATAAACATCTGTTGCAGGGACAGATTGTTTTTATTTTTCGAAACAAAATGAGAGAGGATACATCTCCTATCCAGTTGTTCCGGTTGTTTGTATGTGTTGTGTTATGCAAACAAAAATGCATTTCATTCAACTTTTCATTGCCGGGATGTTGTTGTTAGTAGCCAGAGGAAAGGTAGGTATAGGGGGTTAGTAAAATAGAGATAGAGTTTGTGTATCTTGGTTTTTGTATTACATTTGTTTTATTTCTCCATGTTTGTGTGTGTTTTTTTTTTAATTAATTTAATTATGAAAATAAAAATACAAATGAATAGAATGTGTTTGTGTTTTCTCTTTTTGGTGGTGGGCGGAGTTGGACAAAAGGAATATTAGAGTTAGAAGAGTCGTAGGGTTGTTGGTTTTTATGATAGAACTAAAAAAGAACTTTGAGTTGTGGCAATTTACAATTCATCCTTTTTGTGCTCATCATCCTTCTCTTCAACACTTTCTTCATCAGCATCGGTCTGGAAAAAGAGAAAAAGAAAAAAAAAACAAAATCAGTAACAAAAATTTAAACAAAAATATTTTTTTTTCAAATCCCAGCAAGGCGCGGATTTAATTTTTTTTAAACCAAGCAAGGACTTAATTTTATTTTTTTAACCAAGCAAGGCGTAGATTTTTAAGAAATATTTTGTGTGGATTTTTTAAAAATAATTTTTTTTAAATCCCAGCAAGGCGTGGATTTTTAAAATATATTTTTTTCAAATACCAACAAGGCTTAGATTTTAATTTTTTTAATAAAATTGAAGTAAAAAAAAATTAAACAAAATTGGATTTAAAAAAATATTTTTTTAAATAAAATTGCATTTCAAAATAAATTAAATTGGATTTAAAAAATAATTGTTTAATTAAAATTGGATTTTAAAAAATATTTTTTTAATTAAAATTGGATTTTTAATATTAAAAAAAAAATAATAATTTGGAAAAAATATTTTTTTAATATTTTTGAAAAAATATTTTTTAATATTTTTGAAAAAATATTTTTTTAATATTTTTTCAAAAATATTTTTTAAAATACCACAAAGGTTTGGGATTTTGGGATATTTTTCATTGATTTTTTTTAAGTATTGAAAATACTTACAGATTTAACATCACCGCCAGCTTCCAAGAACTTAACGAATTCATCCAAAGTTCTGTCCAAATTGTAATCGACAACCTTGTTATCACCCTTGCGATACAACTTGATGGTGGGGAATGACGACACCTTGGTGTGTTCCAATTCGTTGGCGGTGGCATCCATCTTGGCAATGACAATGCTTTCGTGATCCTTGAATTTCTCACCCAATTGATCGTAGATGGGAGCCAATTGTTTGCAGTGACCGCACCATGGAGCATAGAATTCAACCAAAACATCCTTGGTCTTGTCGAAGGCAACTTCATCGAAGTTGGTGGCAACCAAAACCTTAACGGGGTTCTTGTCCCAATCTTCGGGCAAATCTTGAGACAACAAGTGTTGCTTCAATTTACCGTCCATGAACTTTTGCAAGAAATCGCTAATGGTTTCGGCAGACAAATCGGCAGATTCAGGCTTATATTTAGCCATATCTTCTTCCAAACGGATCAAACGAATGGTGGGTACATCATCCTTGGACATGCCGAAGAATTCAAAGATACGGGCATGATCTTCTTCATCGGAGGAGATGGTGACGAACAAAATGTCGTTGCGGTATTTCTTGGCGATTTCCTTCAAGGGGTCGACGTGCTTTTCAATGTGGCCGGCTTCCTTGGAAACGAAGAACAACAAGTGGGATTTGATGGAACCACCGAAAATCTTGGAGGCAGATTCATGGTTGAATTCAACAATCAAAGGCAAAGATTCAACTTGAACGAATTTCTTGACATCTTCAGCATTGATTTCACCGGTGTAGAGAGATTTCTTGTCATCGAAAGGTTTGAACAAAATGATTGTACCGCACTTGGCTTCGTATTTGGCGAAAACATCTTCGTTGGAGGTGATACCGAAAGCGAAGCTATCCAAAGCGTTGGCAGCGGAGACGAAAGCCTTAGCTTCAGCGGATTCGGTGTCCTTGAAGAAACCAACAACGGCGATCTGGAAAAAGGTGAAAATTTTGAAAATTAGTAAATTTCAGAGAAAATGAATTTTGGATAAGTTTAATATGAATAAATTTCAAAAATTTTTTGGAATCACTTTATAAAAAAATGAAATGAATTTTTAAACTTACTTCATTGTCCTTCAAGAAAGTTTCGGCTTCTTCGACGGTGGTCAATTGCTTGGCGGGGGGACCGGTCTTCTTGTTAACCCAGCTAACAATATCGGCAGCTTGACGACCACCAGTATAATCGACAGGGGAGCCGCTGCGGAAGAATTTCAATGTGGGATAGCCGCGAACTTGGAATTCTTCAGCCAAAGGACCTTCAACGGTAGCATCAACCTTGCCCAATTTAATGGGAGATTCCTTTTCGGCCAATTGTTGGGCAGCCTTAGCGTATTCGGGAGCCAAGGCTTTGCAGTGACCGCACCAGGGAGCATCTGCAAAATAAAGAGTGGGGGGAAATTAGAAATTCTGCGTAATATATTTACATATAATTTTAAAATTATTAAAAATTTTAATACAAATCAAGAAGAGGCTTGGAAAAAAGATTCGAAGTGAATATTCATAAAAATCACAGTTATGAATATTTACATAAAATCTGTCCACCAGAATAAATAAATATTCATAACAAAAAAATTATCCAACCAAAGGATAAATATTTACATAAACAATTTTCAAGGATGTTATGCAAAATGTCATGGTAAATCGGAGGCATTGAAAATTCTCAGAAAAGATAGAATAATAGCAACATAATTATCATATTCTTTAAACAAACAATAAGGCAACCAACCCTCCCTCCTCTACCATCTTCCTCCTCTTCTTAATCATACGCATTTCGAAACTTACTATTATGTAGATGAGAATTGTTTTTGTTATTGTTGCCCGATTGTTTTATTAAAAACAATGGCTATGGGTTTATTCTATGTTCCTCCATACCCACCACCATGGAAGATTTACTTCTTGGTTGACTACAAAAAAAATCGACGCCTTTCTTACCCCCCACCACGACCAACCAAACAGCGATAATAACAACAGTAAGCAGCAACAAGTTAACAATATTTACCCAAATAGATAATATTTGAGGAGGGTAGGGGCAAGGGAGAAGTAGGTAGAAAGGGGTACAACATGTGGAAGAATTAATATTGGTATTGAAAACAAGAAGAAAGGGGAAATGAAACAATGACAAGAAGAAAAAATATTAAACAAACCGGTAAATGCCACGTTAACCATAATTCCTTCAACCATCAGCCTATCTCTTTCCCACTCTCCCACTTATGGAATAACCAATAGGCTAAAGAAATTAAACACATACGTGGCCTTTAAGAAAAAACAAAAAATGAAAATAAAAAATGACAATATCAGCAGAAAAAAATGTGTGTTACTAGTAGAGTTTGCCATTATTATTTTTTTGCCAAATATAATGGCTCATGTTTTTTTTTATTATTTTTTTAAAAAGAAAATACAAAAATATTGAATTTTGTTCTAGCCACTAGAAAGATACTTGATATAAATCTTCTTATCAATGCTTTGGTTAATAAGAAATAGAAATTTGTAGCCACTTTAAAAATATTGTAAGAGAATTGACAACCTGCCTAACTGGCTAGATTAGGTGGCATGGGTAGGGTAGATATTTTTGATAAGATTCTGGATTACTAACACACTCGGCGTTAAAAAAAACGTAATTAGGTTCCTAATTTTAAATCCACTTATTCAGTGGTGCATAAAAATGTGTTACTGGCAATGTTTTCAAAAAATAAAATCGGTTTTCAAGTATAATGAAATCTAAAAAAACAGATCTGAAATAAATTGAATAGTTATTGGCATTGACACGTTTGGTAGGTTCTTGTGCACCAGTGCCAGTCTCTACTTCAACGGCTTAGAAGTCTCAAAGTTTTTTAAAGTTATTGCCTAGCCACTTAATCATGGTAACATATCCTTTGGATACCCTCTACCATAGGTATACTGACATATACTTGCAATGAAAATAAAGGGAACATACCAAAAATATCAGGAGGTATGGGGGAGATGCCTAAATGCTGCCCGATATATTTCAGTATCGTCAGGTTCAAGTTTTTTTATCACGATATCCTTAGAAAGCGGAAAGCGGATTTATTGAGGAATAACAAAGGGTACGACTAACTTAATATACCCTCCCCTCCATTATTCTATGGTAAAGGGTATAAAAATAAAAATACTGTCTCTAACACATGATAATTACTTTGGGAATTACACCATATGAACTCTCGATAATAATAATAAAATGTCAATATAATTGCCAATTATTGTCGAATTTGATTAGCCACTTACATCCCCCTTCCCTCCAAAAAAACTCATTAAATTGTCACACAATATGTAACATTATTAACTAGCCAGTCAGCTATTAGCACCACAACGGAAGTGGCAATGCAATGTATAGCAGGGCAAAACAATCATAGCAAAAAAAAAACAAAACCACAACCGCCATGGCATACAAAAAAAGACACGGATAAAAATAGTACAACAACAGAAAAAGGAGGAAATAAAAACCCAAATACCATGGAGAAAAAAATATATTCACCGCCGTAGTAGTATTACATAGTAGTTTTACATACAAATCCATCATGTATGTTTAAATATAATAATGAATGGTTAGCGATATATTCAAATAAAAATATTACAAAAATAAAATATACGTCATCATTGTTATACACGTCATTACAAATAAAGAAGAAAAAAAGAGTGAACAAGAATGAAACAGGCCTCTTTTAACCTATTTGTGTAGAAGCACATGTTGTCCACAAGAAAAATGTGGCTAAAGATTGCAATTAGAATCGAATATGGTGGGTGAGAGGTGGGGTGTGGTATTGTGAGATGCTAGTTAAGAAAGACTGATAAGCTACTTTTTATTATTGCTGACGTATGTATGTACTACATGTGGGATGGAAACAGATGTCATATTCATTCATGGGTGAGCTGTGGGAATGTGGTATGGGGTGTTGTCTTTTGGAGGATTTAAAAAAAAGGATTTTGAGCTGAACATCTTTAAGATAAATATAGAATGGTTGATGTGTATCAATGTGAAGTATATTTTTGGAGAAATCGACTAGGTATTAGATACTCCCACAACAAAATGAATATTGAAAGATGAATGTTAGAGAAAAAATTGTTGAGGAAGGAATAAGGAATAAAATATTACCCTCATGTCCTGAGGTGCTGATTATTTTGTATAGAAAAAGTTGTATTTAGGACTGACTTCAATATTCCCTTTTTTATCTCAGGACTGATAAGTTACTTTTTTATAGAAAATAGTAACCGACTTGGCACAATCTCTTCTAAACATATAAAGGGGTCTGATACAAGCAACAATTTGACAAATTGAATCTACTTCATTTTTATTATTTCTCTTTCGAGATGTAGCTCATCTCGCTCATGATCGAAGTTGCAATGAAAAGGAAAGCCAGAAAGATACTATATTCCCACTATTATGCGACGCGTTTCGCCGTTGGTTAAGCGGCTCATCAGGCATATTGGACAATGTGGCTTACAAATATCGTTACTTGATATGTTGTAATATGGATCAAAAATATTCCAAAATTTTCAATTTCATATGGGAATATATTTTTGATTTTTTTACTTGAAGAAACATTTTGAGTGGAGAATATATTTCGCCATGACCCTATCTCCATGAAGATTTGAATTTTTTTCTTTTTGTTAGGATTTAGGGAAGTATCGAATGACTAGATGCCATTTTGAGATTTTTTCAACCAAGCAAAATATGTTAAGTTGTTTCCTCTGCAAAAAATAAAATTTGAAAGTTAATAAAAAATCGTGATAATTATGATCGTTCAATCATTTAGAGTGCCCTTTATAAATTCAACAAAAATTAAATTTCGTTGTACTTTCTAACCGGTTTTTAAGATTAACATGAAATGTCTACATAAGTTAACATGCCAAAAACAAAATCTAGGTCATTCAATTTTATTTCAGATTCCAAAAAATCATTCCAAATTGATCTAATTTTTTTATGTTGCAAACTAAAAAACAAAATTCCATTCTCTTTTCACGATCACCTCTTATATTTCCTCTACTCTTTTGATTACCATCCATTAGTGATTAACCCTATTTCTATAGAAATACAAGATAACAAAAAACTATGCGTCACACAGAGCAAATAATAAAAAGACGCCAAACTAAAAAACCAACAAAAAATTATAGTAAAAATACCGTTATGTTATATTCCATTCACAGCTCTAAAGTTCATTAGCCCCAAATCATTTACCGGCCGGCCGTTACTACTATTTAAGCCAACAACTCACGTAGGTACGCACAGCTATTGGCCATTGACTTTTGTTAAGAGACGCAAACACTATTTTGGGTAAATATACATAAGTAGAAATAAAGGTAGAAAAAAGAGAGAAGAAACGGCATAATGATGACGGCTTAATAAGCCATAGATGGATGTGGTGGTTGGTTGTCTTTGGATGACAAAACTAGCCACCAACTAGTTTTTATAAGCCGGTTGTTTGGTTTGTGTTTGGTTGGTGGTTATGGTATTATGTGATTTGGGGTTTTTGAAGTTCAAACACGTATTAATTATTGAAATAAAGAAAAAGAAAGAGGAGGTGGGAAAAAGAAAATAAAAGAAAAAAATCTAAGGGCAAATATGGCCATGGGTAAGGTCATAAAAAAAGAAAATTGATAAGCATTTTTGGAATTCTCACAAACATTTTTTTGAATGCAACAAGTGCTTGGGAAACCAAATATAATAATGATTAAGGTCAGGTCACAAAATATTTTTTTAGATTTTTGTTTTATCAACAAAACATGAATGCATGTCCGGCCAGCATCAAATTTCAAACATATGTGCACATGAAAATAAGGAGAAAAAAAAGAAAAATAAAAACTTAAAACCAAGTGACCATGGAGGTAAGGTCACAAAAGAAAACTGATAAGTTTTGAATTTGGACACTTAAATGCAACAAGTGATTAGAGAAGAACCCATGACCGGGCAGGGCAACAGCATGAAATTTGATCTTATGATGCAATTGCATTTGTTTATCTCTTCTAACCACCATAAAAGGTCATCATAATCTCACTATTTTTTATGATGGTATTTTGATGATGGGTACTCAAGCAAATGCATTTGGTGATAAGCCAAGAATGAAGAAACATAACAACAACACATGGACCGGCTTAGAAACAAATAACAGCATCGTGTTATGTTGTGTTGTTTTTTTTCTGGAATTTAATTTCGATTTCATAATTTATGCTGAGTGTGAATCTCATAAATTGTTCTTTTCTAGAAAAACGATAACACCTAAAAAAAGAGGAAACTAAGACGTGGCTTTAGAATACGTTTTTTTTTCTAACAACAAAAAAAAATTACAAATCATGATTAGTAACAAAAATATATGTTGTTGTTTTTTATATAATTAAACATATTAGTGATAAGGAGAAAATAAAAATTAAACTAAAAAAATACAAAATACATATAGGGGATTGGTCGAAAAGATTGAAGAACAAATTTCTTTAACTTAAAAAATGTATAAGATAAGGTTTAAACAAAAAAAAAAAAAAAAAAAGGAAGTGGCGATAACATTTATTTTTGGTCATAATTTTTAAGAAATGGAAGATATTGAGATAAGGCAATTTTTAAATTAAACAAAATGAAAAGAACTGAAAATGTACTTGAATAAGACCAACCCGTGATTTTTAAAAAGAAATAAAAACAACTTGAAAAATAAGAAAGATATTGGAAACTGACTGAAAAAAAAGTTCTGTTGTTTCCATATTTTGTTTTCTTGGGATAACACAAAACAGTTCATTGTATAGAGTTTTTCAATTGTTAAAAAAACATCGTGTGCAACCAAAGTCAATACAATGATGTGGAGGTGGTGTACCTGCTGTCCTTTTTTTTGACAATAGCTGTGTGTTTTTTTAAAGAAAACAAAACATGTGTCAATTCGAAAAATGAAAAGATAAGAACTCAGAATTTTATTATTATGAATGCAATGAGATATGGCATGATAACAGAATGCATATTGTGTGAAACATACACCATATTTTTTATATATGACACTGCAAAAATTGTTATCAATTTTAACAAATATTGAAGAATATGTTCTTGAAAATGAAAAGAAATAAAATGAGGGATAATTCTAGGGATATTCTATCAGATTTTTTCAATTTTATTTTTTTGTTATCAATTTTGGAATACATAAGTGGCTTGATAGAAAAATATTCACATTTTAAGCAGTTTAACAATTCTTAAAAACACAAACACTCTATGTCAATAAAAAAAATTGAGGTTGATAGAGCGAAACTTGAACAAATCCAGAATTTTATGTGAAAAGGAATGTTTTTCACTTTAAACGAACTCATTTAAAAAATGAGATTGGATTGGATTTGTATTGGATTGTATATATTGCTTTAATGAGGTTGCAATTTTTCTTTCGAAAATCAACGTTATATTCAATATTTCCCAATACAATCAATCGGAAATAGATTTTTAAATAATAATACAAAAATTATGTTATGAGAATACATCAAATTCATTCGAAATACTAAGCCAATGCTGACGAAAAATACCAATTGAATGTTTACTTCTTGGAATTATTTTCGAAATTTCAAAGTGATTGGAATTGAATAAAAAGGAAATAAAACCAAAAAGAAAAATTCCTAGGAAATATGAATCATATACTTCGATGTCATTGGAAATTTAAATAATGAAAAATGAAATACGTATTGCATCAATGTCCACATCATAGTCAATGAATCTTAGGATACAACAATTGTCCATTATGAATATGAAAACCAGTTACAAAGAACAAAATATGCTTGCAATCTCTTGTATTAATGGACATTTTTGGTATGAGTTCGTCTCTATTTTAATTCGCTATTTACTGGCATGGCAATAAATTTCTGAATAACTTTTTCTTCCATTTGGAATGTGGATGTAACTATTTGACTTTTTTAAATTTAAAAAACATCCTCGTCTAAAATTGCCTTATTTTGGTGTTGGAACCTCCATATATGATTGAAGATTATGACTATTTCAAAAATATTATTGAGATTTCGGTCGATTAGACTTCTCCATATGCTTGCTAACAAATTATTTGAATCAGAAAATTTAATAATTACTCATTTTCAATTGAAATTTTGCCTCATTTTGGCGTTGGAACCACCATATAGTAAATTCGAAAATAATATTTTTTTTCTTAATTTACCTGTAATTATTTTCACGAAATCTTTCAAAATCCAAACATCTATTTTCTCAAGTAATTTTAAAACTACAATTGATTCCATCTTTTAAGGTTGAGCTCTTGTTATGGAAAACAAAGAAAATGCTATCACAACATTCCTCAAAGAAAATTTTCTCCAAAGTCATTGTGATTCTCCTCTACACTTCATCCGGTTGGATTTATTTGGTTAAAAGAATCCTCATTCATGTTTACGCGCCAATTCTGTACAGGCAAACTTGGCCAGCAACAATGATGCATTTAATTTAACATTTAACACTTAAACCAAGTTATTTTTAAACAAAAAATTAACATCTTGACCTCTGCACAATAATTTCTTCTTTTAATGATGATTGTCAGTGATAAATGTCAGTTTAAATGACGTTTACCAACACTTATTACATGGTAAATTAAATGCAAATGAGAGATGGGGCTTGCTTGCACTTGCATGCATTTATTGTTATGAACAACAAAGGCAAAACATGACAAGTAATTAAAATATAATTACAACAACAAATTGCCAACAATAAAATTAATTTTATTTTTCTTACTTAAATTTCCTTTATAAAGTAAAATAAAAAACAAATACAAGCCAAGCAGCAGCAGCAACCAAATTGTGACACGTCAACATAACTAATACAAAGAGTATATAACCTATAAAAGAGCAACAGACTATTGTGTGGTGCAAACCGCACACACAGAGAGAGAGAGAGTAGTTGTTGTTTTCCCCCTTTGTGGAGAAAGGTAAATGCCATATCAACCGGCAAAGAAAGCAACAAACAACAATAATCAGTAGCATAGAATTAATACAAAAGAAAAATGAAATCTCCAAAAAGTAAATGAGAATGCCAAAGCAATGGGAAAAATAGCGAGGAACTAGTTTTGATTATGAATAAAAGATAAAGTGCAATAAAAAAGAAACTTGAGCAAAAACAATTGCACGAGCAAGTTACTTATCTGCAGGAACAAACACGGGAGGGGAACTACAAGGCAAGAAGATGACAAACGGCCAACGTTTGTTGGAGAAAAAGAACAAAAAAATGTACACGCAGACAAAAAAATTCCCAAGAACAATGGAGTTGGCTGGATTCTTAATACCGTAAATTATTAAGGCCCAGTCTTTAATTTCACAACACAATTTTTTTCCAAGCTCTTTCTTTAAATCTACTTTTCAAATCGTCTGCTTTTTTATTAATATGATGTACTTACAGAATTCAACCAAAATAAATTCATTGTCGGCAATGGCTTTCTTGAAATTGCTTTGTGTCAATACCAAAACTCCATCTTCGACTTTGATTTCTTCATCGGCGGCTTTGACGCCCAAAGTGGCCACAGCCACAAACAACAGCGTACACAATAAGAATTTCATTTTGTTACCCGGTTTTTTTCGTTTAGTTCTTTTTTTATTCCGTTTAATTAACTAGTATAAAATAAATTATGATGCCCACACACAACACTTAAAACCGCGCAATTAAACTCCCTGCCTGCAACGATGTTCACGCGTCGAAATTTAAATGTTAAGTGATAAATTCATCAGTGTAGAGAAATACAAGTAAAGAATTCTCTGAGAATGGATGAATGCGAGGAGAATGACACGTCATTGAAAACAACACTTGTCAATTGCCTGTGTGGTTGGTGGGGGGAATTCATTGTGGATGGTTAGCTAGCAAGTCGTACGCCAGTTGGGCGTAAAAAGAAAATCAATGCGTATAGCGTAAAATGTTAAGAATTTGAAGAATACAATAATTTTATTATAAATTATTACAATTAAAATATTTAAAAATGTTGAAGGAAATTGTAAATTATTGAAAATATAGCATAGAAATAGAGGCAATTTCCTTTTAATAATATAATTACCCGAATAAATAATTACCAACTGTGTTTCCCTTTTTAAAATTTGCTTAATTACATGCATGGTACAATAATACAAGGTAGGGGAGCTTGAGGTGAATAACAAAAAAGCAACTATGCACGTGTGGCTTCTTCTGCCAAAAATAAAATAAATATACGCAACAAGTGTTTGTTTATTTGACATTTTTTCAACACAAAACTAAAAACGCGAAAAGTGAATGAAAGGTTATGATTTCTTCCAAAAATTCAGTAGGGAATACCATCAAATGTTTGTTTCATCCATAACAAAGTTATTACTTCCAAACGAACATGTTAAAAACATAATTTCCATTCAATTAAATTTGAATATATTTCAATTTATTTTGAATTTATTTGACATAGTATTCAAAACATTACACTACACACACATACACAAAATATGTATTTTGATTTGATGGAACAAGCCACCTAGAGAAAAAATTGTATTCAGTTGGTAGCTGTGCCCTACCTTGTAATAATTATAACATGATTACATGGAACAATTATACAACTTAGAGGAAATACAGCTCTACTTTGTTCTTTTCAAAATCGAGTTAGGAATATGATTTAGACATTGATTCATTCACAAATCATAAATTTCACACACATGAATTTTAGAATATATATTTTTTATATTTTTCAAAATATGACGTACACAGTCACAAAAACATTTGTTTTTGTCTCGACCATCTGTCGAAAATTTCCATATAACATTTCACATGGTTGGCAACAACATGCTAAATGGACTACCTATTTATTGTGCCAGTCTCCTTCCCATCGCATATAAAGTGCTATCCAGCGTGGTGTGTGAACGACTAAAGCCAATGGTCAATAACATTTTTGGACCATATCAATGTGGCTTCAGACCTGGCAAATCCACTATTGACCAGATTTTGACTATGCGCCAAATCCTGGAAAATACCAATGAAAAACATATCGACACATTCCACCTATTCGTCGACTATAAAGCTGTATTCGACAGCCCTATCCGTTCAGAGGTGTTTAAAACCCTGTCTGCGTTCGGAATTCCTGCAAAATTAATACGGCTATGCAGGATAACTTTCAGTGGCACAAGGTCAGCAATTATAATCGGAATGGACCTATCGGAGCCCTTCAATACCGAACGAGGATTCAGACAAGGTGACAGTTTGTCGTGTGATCTTTTTAACAGACTGCTGGAAAAAGTCATACCAGACGCAAAAGTGAACGGAAATGACACTCTGTACACCAAAGATCATATGTTATTCGTCAACGCCAATGACATCGACATAATGGGTCAAACATTGCTAGCGGAAACAGACACCTTTGAACAAATTGAGAAGGAATCTGCCAAAGTAGGTCTGGCAGTAAATGGCGAGAAGACCAAGTTCATGGTATCAACGCGCAAGGCGTCCAGTTGACTGGACAAACTGTGGAACTTGAGAACTACAGCTTCGAGGTAATCAAAGATTTTACACGGCAAATATCGCCGTCGAATGAACCATGAGTTGTAACGTCTACTCTCGGACATCGGCATTGTCAGACGTATCGAGCTTGTTTGGCTAGGTCATGTTGTGTGAATGGATGAAGATGGTCCAGCATCAAAGGCATATAAAAGCGAACTGATGGCTTATTTTGAAATCCTTACGAATCTGGCTCAATGTAAAGAGCAACCTAACGGAATCGTTGATATTTTTTCCACGTAATGGGACAGATTTCTCAGTCAATCCTGAATATCACATGATAAAGATATGAAAATACACATTAGAAAGAATATTGACCGAATAGTGTGTCCAATCCAGCAATGAAGCAACTTAGGATTGATTGCAAGAAGGCGGAGAAGAATTATCTAAGTTGAGACATCATCATCTCTTCTAGTGAGACAGGTGAATGAGGTGAATCTCGATTTTGATCTGTATCCATATGACGTTATTCCGATTATGGCCGAAATTGAAAAAGCATAAGTATTAAGGTGGAAAGCAGTATCATCAAAATATATCTCTTCAGAATTGCAAGAGATTTGATTCAGAGATTGTGATTCCAAAATGAGCAAAGTCGATTCTCAGAACGATGCCAGAATATATGCTGAAGTTAAAACACAAGGTATTAAGAAAATAGGCACTGGTGCTTCTGTCAGCGTTTTATTCTGAGTTTTTAGATTTTTATTATATTTAGTGGGATTTAGTACCAATATACTCCTCCTTAATAACTACCTCACCGGATTTTGGGAAAATGTAATTTTGAAATAAAATATAATGACAGAGTAAACGGTTTAGGTTTTAATTCTATATCCGAATTTTCCTTTTATTTCCTCATGTGACTCCGTAAACTGCCCACATAACATTACTTATCGTCTTCAATTCCTCCTGTGTATTTACAAAGATATTTTTCAATTGTTGTCGATTCGAAAAAAGCTATGTTTATTATCCGGTCGCTAATCATTTGAATTTGTATACCATGTGTATTCCTAGGGCACTGAATACAACGAGTTCCATTGGGACCTTGTGTTTTCATGGTCTTCAACTTAAAGCAACGATACTCATAATTTTGATGGAGTTGATATCCAGATTACGTCAATATAAATTATTTTGGATCTCCACAACTGACTCCAAACGAAAAAGGAAAATATATTGGCTCCAAGCGAACTTTGGATGCTAATATCAGATACCACGGATTCCCACAGAAGAACATATATCCATGAACTCAGGGCCTTTTGCTCTATTTCAAATCGTTGACCGGTCCTTAAACTTATCCAAATAAAATAATTTTTCTATTTTGGAACAAAATTAAAAAAAGTAAACAAACAAAATATTTTACAATGATAACAGCAACATTTATTTTTTTTTTTTTGTACTTCTATACGTTGTCAAGTATGTTGGTGGGAGAACATATGATGTTCATTCACCAGGACCGGTTATGGGTTACTTGAAGTATAAGTACTCATTTATTTACATTTTCTTTTGATGCTTACGTACTAATATTTACATATTTGTGTACAAGGTATATTAATGAGGTAACAGTATCAAGCCAGCTGGTGGTAATATTATATGTCACAACATTTCTTTTCTTGAATTCGCCGAAAAAAAAAATAAAATTAAAAATGAAAATTAATGAAGACAATTTCTGAAGAAACAAAATATATAGGTTATGTATAGGATACCTTCACATAAAAAATTATAAAAATCTATTATCTTGGGACTTTCTATAACGATTTGATGGCGCATTTCACGTAAAAAATTTCCTCATTATAATTCCTCCGTATAATAAAACGTATGTATATCAATAATCTAAGGGCGAAGCCTTAATTTTCGAATGAGACCTTCAGAATAGACAATTCATATGATAAGGATATTGATCTAGGAAACCAGAACTGCATCCTGGAGATGTTAAATATTGTTAGAATTCAGTTTCTTCAATTTGGCATTTTGGTTTCTTATTGAATGCAAATTTCCTTGCAAAACTTTCTATGTTCGCTTCCATATAATGATACGTCCCAATTTCAATAATGTGGTTGTAATTTCGAACCTTAGATTTCCACATATGTTGAGTTTGGTATGCTGAGGTGCTACTACCACAGAAAACATATTCAAAATGGGTCCACGTCTTCGTTTCTCCAAAAATGTATTCGTTGTCATCAGTTCCTTAACATTAACGAATCATTTTTATCATTTATGCTTCATAAATTTACGATTTGCAAAAAAACACACAAATTTAAAAAAGTAAATAAATATTTTATAAAACTTCACAAATGCTTTGTTCTGATTGGTTGAAAAATAAAAGGCGAATTCATTTTTATTCGCCTTGATAACAATTTTGACATATCATGTTCCCAATTCGCCGATGCGGCTACCTTATATATCTACCTTGTTTGTGTATTTAGAAGTAAACTGTGTCACAGAAAGAGTATAGCAAAACAAATGAAAAAAAAAAATGAAACTGAATATAAACAAAATTATAAACAAAAGTGAAATAAAAATTAGAGATCAATTTTACATTTTGATATAAAAATTAAAAGTTCATCAATGTGTTGCTGGTTTCTGGACATTAAGAGCTCTTGTAGGTTGCTGAACGTGTGGAAGATTGTAAACTGCTTCCTTTCGATTTCGTATTTTTTACAATGAAAAATAATGTGTTTCTCATCTTCAATAGTATTGCAGACTTCACACAGATTTGTGTCCACAATGCCGATTCGATGGAAGTATTTTTTTGTGTAAGTGTGACCAGCTAGGAGTCTGTTAATAATTTTTATATTTGCAGGTTTCATCTTAGAGGATTTGAACCAAGGTTGTTTTGGTGGTTCTGGAAAAAATTGATAGAACCAAATGCCTTTGGACCGGGAGATTTCTTTATATATATCCGTGAACTCATTCCACATAGATGATTCGACTTGCTTAATAGCATCCGTTACTGAGAGACAATAGTCAATTTTGCATCCTGCGTTAGCTGCATGTTTGGCGAAGTAATCTGCCGCTTCGTTTATTGAAATTCCAACGTGTGATGGTGTCCAAACAAATGTTATTTTGTGTATATTAGAGTTTGAAATTTTTC